GCACAATGCCTATCTTCTATGTCTAACCAGATCTGTAAGAAACTCATGCATTGCTGAAATACACAATGATTGGGAACTGCAAGCAGCTCTGTAGCTGTGTCTTCCTCCATCCTGCCACATCCTTGTGGAGCTCTTCTCCTTAATCAGGTGGGGAGACAAGAAAGGTTGTTAAGTCTACTTCCCAAATGAGCTTCCAACCTCAATCCCAGTGCCTACCAGGAATTCTCTTGGACCCCATCACGTTTCCTTCACCAAGGGCTCTCATAGGCCTAAAACTCAAGACCAGGCTATCTCCCTTTTCTGCAGCCGCCCTAGGGAAGAAGGGTAGAAAATGGGCATACCAGAGAAAAGGGGTAGCTTTGGGGATGGACAATGGAACAGAGTTCTCTTGCTGCCACTTGAAGGTTATCTCCCTTTAGAACATGAGGCACTTATTTCCTTACCCTTTCAGCTTGGTCAGTTCACCAAGGTCATAAAAGCAGGAACATTTCCATACGCTATCGTAGATGGAAAAGACAACTGGGCAGGAAATTATGGTGGAGCCAAAGTTCAAGTTGAACAAAGGGAAGTGTTTTGTTTTGGTCTATGAATATCTACATGTGAACCACATTTGTTTAATTGGTAGAGAAGCATCTGATTATAGTGGGCAGACTCTAATGTGGTTCAGAATTTCATTTTCTTAGTAGGAAGGGTTATGATTATATGCAAGAGTTTTACTCATGCCTGGCTAAAATCTCTCTTTATGGCTTATCAATATGATTACACTATTCTTGACAATTTTTTTCTCCACAATCAAACATATTGCATGTAAAAAGGGAGCAGGAAATGCAAAAGAAGTTCTGTCAACAAAAAAATCTATAATTTCATAGGCGAGATAGTCAAATTCGGTGGACAGAATTCTGATGTGAGACTCTTCAGGTTTACATCAATAAAGAAAAACCTTACTTTGCTTTTGCTGTATTTTTTGAGTTGGCAAGTTATATAATGAACACATATGTTGTATGAAATGTACTGTATGGCTTGATCTAAAATAATTGGGGTCCTGAGACAGCAGAAATCTCATTTTGCCAGTTACCAGTAACAACAGTGAAAGGCTCCAGGCATGAAAAAGGTTTGATAGCATACCAGTACCGTAAAGGGACATTCCAGACTCTCATGCCAAGATGTGAGAGTGTGCCTCCCCTCACATACTAGTCATAAAGTAAGTAGTCCTAGAAGCAACAATAAATATCCATAAAGATAAAGAACCTCCTTGGATCACAGTCTCCCCTTCTCTAATGCCTACTTGTTGCAAAACAAGGCTTGCATTGAGTGCTCAGCAGGTGTAAGGCATGGCTACTGGGGATCTCAGAAGGATACTGAATAAATGAGAATCTACCATAGGTGTGAGGGAAATCTATGAACTGGAAGAAGGATCCTCAGGACCGCAGAGAACCACCGCTGATTCCCAAGGAACCCTAGGGGGTTACTAAGGCTCAGAATGCTTTCCTGTCCCTGTGTTCTGTAGACTGGAAAGCAAACCCGCCAGCCAGGAGCAGCAGCCACACTGCAACACCACAAGGAGGCAGGCATCCCAGGCGTTTGGGGGTGGGAGAGGCAGCAAGGGAACAAACGCAGCCCCAGGTGGCCTGTACCAGATGTAGTAAAGGTGTCTTCTTTGGTGTATCATGACCAAGTAGAAGATGACAGTCGTCAGGGTCCCACAATTGGGACAGGCTTTGTTTTTGTTTCCTGTAGTTTTATCCTTAAGTAACAATTACAAGTGCTATTTTCATCTTTACTAGAATTGCTTCTGATTTTTAAATGAAGAGTGCATAAAGAAGTGGAAAGGAAAGAAAAGGACATATGATGTCATAATTAGACTTCTCAATCCTTCAAAAAGAAAACAACATTCACTCTTACTAGCATCTGTGGAGGAGCTTGGCGGAATGCATAAGAGCAGAGACAAATATTTGCTGTGAGCCAGGCATTTTCTGAGAGTGCACCACAACAACTGAACCCTGACAACTGCCCTGTGAGGTGCATATTATCCTCCTCCCTGCTTTATATCCCAATAGCTAATATTCAGAAGGTTAAGTGGAACAGCTGGAATTCCAACCCGGGATGTAGGTGGTACTACTAGATTAGGCTGCTTCTGATGCATTTCTGCAAAACCAAAAAAAAGGGGCTCACTTGATAGGTAAATCCACAGGATTACTCTTCACAGGGAGAAGTTAACAGCATATACAGTCTGAGCCACAGGCCTGGGTTTGCCTTGCAGTTCTGGTAACAGCCAATAGCCTATTCTGGGAAAGTCATAGGTCTGGTTTCCTTCTCTGTGAAATGGGCAAGATAATGCCTATTTCCAAGCCTTGTTTCAGGGAGACTGAATGACATCTGAAAAGCATTTGGCACAGTGTATGACCTACACAAATGGTACCCATGCTTTCTGATAATCACTGCAACCTCCACGAGGCTTTCCATGTCATATCCAGCATCAAACTGCATGGACTCTCTTGTTTATTATTTAAATCTCATCATTTGGGGCAGAGCACTATAGTTATTGTGATGGTAGGGCGTTATTCAGGAAAGGAGGTAAGAACTTCCCACAAATGGACAAGGTGATGTTTGCATCCTAAATATTTGGAGAAAGAAACATGGTGAGGAGGTGGGGGGCGCCTAGGATGGCCTTTGGGTTTTGATCTTGTAGGGGACAGGTTTGGGACTGAAAAATGAAGCTGTAGAAAACGGGAGCTCGAAAGGCACCAGCCAATGAGGCAAAATGCAGGTGTCCCTTGCTTTTTCCACTCTGTGTATGAAGATGGGAAGAAAGGAGAGGCCAGTGGGAAAGAGACCTGTGAGGCTGAACAGAGTCGGAGCCGAGGAGCCAGGGAGCCTGGCCAGCAACCCGAGGCACAGATTCACCAGCTCTACTGCACTCAGTAGTGCAAACGAGAACTGCTTACTTTATGACTAGTATGTGAGGGGAGGCACACTCTCACATCTTGGCATGAGAGTCTGGAATGTCCCTTTACGGTACTGGTATGCTATCAAACCTTTTTCATGCCCGGAGCCTTTCACTGTTGTTACTGGTATGTTGGCCCTGAGAGAGTCTGGAAGAGAGCAGAAGCCAGTACCTTCCTGGTAACAATGAAAATCCTGGTATTTATATAATGTGACATGCCATGTGGGGCACTGTTTAGCTCTTGGCATAGCTATGAATATTTAGGGCAGAACACCAGAGGAATAGGAAAGCTTTCTCTGGATGAATCTGAGGGAATTCACTGGTTATTGCAAATACATGTCCAAACAAGTACCGGTCTGCTTAGGCAGTATGCAGAGCTGGCAAGCCTCACTTGGCATGACGAGTGTGAGTCATGCTTCACTTTAATGAGGGATCCTGGGGGTCTATAATGAGGGCGATGTGGTATTTCCCAATGTGTCTCTTCAGAATGTAGACTGATTATAACCACAGTGGAACAAAGGCCGTTGGGAAGCATGCAGCTCCTGTAACCTCAGGGGCTCTACAAGATGCAGCTAATTTACTGGTATAGAATTGAAAGCACAAAAATGCACCCTGAGTCCCAGAGTGAAGAGCTTCCCTTTCCCAGAGGTAAACAAATGTGAGAGTGAAGTAATGAGGTTTTGCTTTGGGTGGGGCTCAGGTAGAGGGGTTGCTAGTTTGGACCATGTTTTCACACATCAAAGTATCTCAGGAATAATTACATGGCTTCCCTATTTGACACCTCTGAAAGGTAACAGTCATTTAAACCTCAAGTGCAATTGAATAAAGTACATTCATTCATTTTGAAGATACAACCATGGTTATATTTTCCCAGTGAATCTTCATCATTTTGTTCTTTTCTAAGATGTTAAGACACTGTTTTGAATGGGACAAAAAGTCTCCCCAAATCCTGGTGATGCTCTTCACTAGCTGATGGGGCAAGAGACATGGTAGCCTTCACCCCACGCTTGTACTGGTGTCCACTGTCTGGGCGTCCATGTGGATCCAGACACAGCATGTGACTTCCTGGCTCTGAGCTGAGGCTTTATGTGATCTTTTAGACAAACAATTTGACATCCAGTGCTGGTGTTCATTTTATTTCTCCAGGTTGCCCAGAGCAAAATGCTCCATGATGATTGGGCTTCCCACAGTGCTCTGGGCTTTCAGTGGGGGTCAAGTACAGTTGTGGGGAGTTTGAAAGAAAGCTGGTCAGTCATTCAGCCTTCAAGGGTGGGAAGGGTGACTGTTGCACTCAGGATAAAAATGCCCAAAAGTAGATACGTTGGTAGAAGGTTCCTTGGCATGTGTTAATATATCAAGGAAGACTTAGAATTGTAAAGAGAAATAAGAAATTGTCAATGTTAGCCTGATAAGAACCAAAATGAGTGTGAAGTGAACTTGTCTTATATCAGACAAATCTGGCACTTCACATTTGGGTCTTAACATCAGTTGCCTGTCCAATAGGCCAAACAGAGATGTTCCTGCAGTTTATTTGCCCCAATACTTGGGAAATAAAACAGATAAACATTCTAAATATGATAGATAATTCTGGAAGAGGCTTTCAACAGGCCCATTTTGCTGCTTCCTTTTAAGTCCAAACCAGAGCTTGAATAGGTCATTTCTTCTGTTCTCACTTGTGTTTGCTGCAAGTCCCCCAATCCCAACAAAAGGAACAACAACAACAACAAATCCTAAGGAGAAGAAAAATAAAAGGCCTTAAGCAATAAAACTGGCATCCAAGAAAAACACTTAGTTTGAAAAAGAGTTGAAAAATGTAGCCTTGGAAGAACTACTGCTTACATGGGATTGTTCAACAAATTCCTGTTGTGTGAGGTTTGGCATACGCTTTCTAAAAATATAAGCATCTGGGGGCAAACAAGACAAAGCCCAGGTCTGGGACCAAATCAGGCACGCAGTGTGAATCTGTTAGTGATTATATCCATAATGAAATATGCGCCCAAATTTAGCAGTGCCAAATCTAATACAACACGAAAGCCCCAGCAGGCAGGGTCCTTACCATAATATATAGCCAACAGAGAAGGTACATATGGCTGCAAGTCCACTGCGCCTGCTGGGATACTGATGGTGCGATGTCCTCATCTCGATTAATATAAAGGGCAAAACCGTAGTGTGCTGAAAAAGAACAGAGATGAGGTGACACAGATTCTTATCATTGCTTCTCTAAAGTTTTTTTTTTTTTCTTTTCTAGCAGGAGAATGAACGGTGTAGAGTCCCAGCAAAGAACCACAGCAGAAGGCAGTAGGTAGCTTGCCAAGGAGGTGGAACGGATGTACCACATGTAGTGCAGCAACTGTGTCCTTGATATTTTTCTTCTGTATTTTAATTTTTGAAATTTTATTTGACATGTGTGATAGGCAACTTCAACAGAGAGCGATGTCTAGAGAAAAACAGAACATGACATAGAAATAAGCTAGCACTAATATTTTGGTATCTGTTCTCTTTTTTTTCCTTCATGTTCCTTATATTTGGTCATAGTTAGAATCACATGGTACAAGTAATTTTGTTAAGGTTCTTTTATCATAATAATGTAGCATGAGAAATATTGATATTCCACTTTGAAAATCCTTCCAGAATAGCAGTTGCCAGAAACTTCATTATATAGAGATACCAAAACTTATGTAGCCAGTTCCTATTCACGTGAATTAAACAATAAGTTTTAAACTTTTTATTTATTGGAAATGTCCGGGTTAACACCTTTTGTAGAACTCTTTAAATATTAAATTATTTGGTTAGAATCAAAGGCTTTGCAGATTTCAATACTGTTGATATGTATGAAGAAATTTCAAAAATCATCTAAAATGCAATTAGCATGTATTTCACAACAAGACTATCTAAAACCATGTGTATATATTTTTAACAGTATCCATTTTCTTTTGATTTTTAAAGAGGCCTTGTGCTACTAAATTATGCGATAGCAGCAGTGGGTCCAAGTTAGCTTCCAGAAAGGATCTGCCAGCTTGTACCAGTAGGGCATCGATTCCCATGGGACGTTTGAAGTAGAATTACAGAAGCTGACCAGAATATTCCCTTTGTCTCCCTGATCTCATACTCCATGGGCCAAGATTGAGATAAAATTTCTACAATCCATAAGGACAGAAGGCAGGAAAATCAAGTGTTCAAACACCTCAAAGACACAAATATTCTTGTTATTGAAATCTGGTGGGTAGATAATGGGGCAAAATAAGCTTCTCCGATAAAACTGGATATATACAACTTTACCTTCCAACTCTGCAGCTTTTCCTAAAAGCGCAAAGATGGTAGAGCTGAAAGCAGAATCATTGGCAGAACTGACTTCTATTGAGCACCCCTAAACCGTGGAGGAATCCTTGTCTTGCTCTAGTTTTTGACTAAGTTTTCAAACTCTAGTATGTATTTTAACAAAAGGAAACTAGGTTGATAGAAAAAGACAAGTTGAGGATATCAAGGTGAAAATCTCTGGCTGATTTATTGGTTATAATAAGTATTCACATACAAAAAAAATAAAGTCATGATTTTATAAGAAATTTAATCCAATGACATTTTTTTTTACCTCAACATTATCTTCTAGTAACTTTTCTAACTGCCATTAGTAATTAGAGTTTAGCATTCCAAGAATGTCAAGTGAATGATTCCACAGTTGGGGAGCTTTATATTTGTCTTTTTATCTCCTCTGTTATTATTGTTGTTGTTTTTAAAACAGTGTAATTAACCTTGAAGGGAAGCATGCAACAATGTACATGTGTGCTGATACACAAACAGCACGCATTTTAAAGATTTACTGGTATTAACTAGTTACCTCAGATAACATTGGTCTGGAGTTTCACCAACGGTTTGAGACGCCAACAAAATTCTATAATGGTGTATTCTTGTAAAATACAAAGACATAGCTAGCAATAAGGCTATGTGTCAGATTCTACATAGAAGAAAATGCTTGCAAATCAATCCTTTACACTGAAGATGATGCTAACAGTGATGGCCTCCATGAGTTATAAATCATAATGATGCTACTTTGATTCCAATATGAAGAAATGAAGAAATGCTATTCATTCTTTACTCCAAAGAGAATGATAGCATATATTTCTTTCTTTTTTAAAGATTTATTTTTTAAAATTTTTATTGGAAAGTCAGACATGCAGAGAGGAGGAGAGACAGAGAAGAAGATCTTTTACCCATTGATTTACTCCCCAAGTAGCCGCAACAGTTGGAGCTGTGCCAATCTGAAGCCAGGAGCATGGAGCCTCTTCTCAGTCTCCAATGTGGATGCAGGGTCCCAAGGCTTTGGGCCATCCTTGACTGCTCTTCCAGGCCACAAGCAGGGAGCTGGATGGAGAGTGGGGCTGCTGAGATAGAAACCGGCACCCATATGGGATCCCAGCACTTTCAAGGTGAGGACTTCAGCTGCTTGGCTACTGCCGGGCCCAAACATTTTCTTTTGCCTAAAAATTCACAAGGGTTCAAATCATCAATCTGTTCGTGGCCTAGGAAGGCAGTCGGGGATAACCCTAGGTCTTGGGACCCTGCATCCATGTGGGAGACCCGGAGGAGGCTCCTGCTCCTGGCTTGAAAAACTTGTAAAAAATTACACTTATTGATAGCTGATGTTAAGATAAGCAGCTGATGTGCAAGGTAGTTACTGTAATTACAAATGCTACCTGACAAATAACTAAAGTTTTATCACCTGGGGAGTGGTAAAAAAGATATGAATGATCCCACTGAACACCTAAGTAAATTGCAGCAGCTAAGATACAACTTAGAATTGGCAATATCAAGAGGCACAAAAAGTTTCAGAACTATAGGGAAAAGAAATCCAGTTCCAATCCATTCCCAGGAAACGCTGCTTCAACAACCTAAAAAGCAGGAGAAAAATATTCCACTCCATTTAAGACCAAGAGCTACAGTTTAAGAATGGTAACCTTATGCTTGTTCACTATTGTATTTGTACCACTTAGAAAGAAGCCTGGCACATGGGAGACACTTCACAGATATTTGCTGAGATAATCTAGTGTTTAAAACAGCATCCTAAGTGTGTGTTAACTCTGGTCAGTCTGTAGAAGAGGCACAAGGATTCAGAAATGTTAATTACCTTGCCCAGTATCACAGAGCCACTAAACGTGGACATGAGATTCAAAACAAACTCTGCCTGCTTCCAAATCCCATGCTCTTTCTGGGTATTAGAATTATACCTTTACAAGCTATTGGAGTTCAATAATCTTTGTGTCAACAGATTTATGGCCGGGCACAAACTGAAGCTCACTTACCCCATCTCCCAACAGACTGGAATTTTTATTAGTACAGTCTCAGACAGGAAATCTTTACCTTTTGGCAAAAAAAAAAAGGAACTTTTCTAATGTGTTATTTCCTGTGGCATATCATCTCAATAATAATAAACAATAAAACAGTCAGAATCTTTTAGTGGTGTGATTGCTATAGAAGACTAAAGAATGATCTATCTTCTCAAAAACAAACAGCATTTAAAAGTTAATGTATTCTTAGATACGGCTGCACTTTGGATCCAGAAAGATGAAGTTCGGTTATGAGTGGGGGCATGAATGATTGCATTACTCTACTCTCTGCAGAATAGATATAAACACAGCTGTCAACAGAACAATTATCCAACAACTGAGTTACTGCTACTTGACTCACTTTTAAGTGCTAAGCAAGAAGACAGACTGATGACACAAGAAGAGAAACCTGGGCTTGATCATGCAAACTGTCCAATAAAGTGCTGGTCTAAGGTACAAGTAGTTCAATAAAAGGTACAAACAGTTATCCTATCTCAAGCTCTACTCTCCATTGCTGTTTAGTTTTATGAGGTACTGGATCTGGAAGAATATATTCAGAAAAATGAGGGCTCAAAGCTATGCAGAGATGTTACATCTTTGCGCTTCTCTTATTACATCTTTGTGTAATGAAGCATAGTAAGACCAACCATGAGCTGGCCAGCTGCCCATGGCCAAGGTCTACCTCCCCAGGGCATCCATGCAGTGGCGGTCACTGCCACAAAGAGTTATCCTCAGACTTGAGTTCAGGCCTGCACTAGAGGAGAGACACCTGATCAGATCTTGATGTGAAGACCCTGCAGAAGAGCATCCAAGGAAGAAAGCAGTGCAGTTAGGTGCGGACTGATAAATGGAATCTGGCTCACGGCCATGTCTTCCATACGCTGATATTCTAGGGAGGATCCTGAACATGTGCGAGGCGTAGTATTATTCTTTTTGACCATAAGGGGTTGGATTAGGTTAGTACTCAAACATCTGTCAAAAAGAATGAATGCAATCAATTTTGTGATGACACAAACTAGATCGGATGGATCAACCTGCTAGGTAGAGTGCCAGAGCTATGGCTATGACACTTAAAGGCTCAAAAGCACGTTTTAACTTATTTTAAAATCAAAAGAACAAAAGAATGCATGTAGTTGAGTATATAACCAATACTTTCATAAACAAGTGTAGATGTGAAGACACACGCACACACACACACTAATGGGTCAAGAAACTTACAACTACAAAATGCCTAGGGGATACAGAAGTTTAAATGGGATCCTGTCACACACTAAGTAAAAGCTCATTTTCTTACTCAATTCACATTTTTCTTAAATAAACATGTTTAAGGAGAAACCTTGTATAAACTCCCCTAAATGGAACATCACTTGTCACCAACATAAGATCATCATAAAAACAAACATTGCTCTAAAATTCACCAATGTTCACTGCTCACTAGGTACGCTCACCTGTTGAAGGCTCAGTTTCCATGGCCTGCTCCCTGTGTTAGACACGAATAGTAGTAGGAATTAGAGGGGCATTAGAGACACACTGGCACGACGTGGGGACTCCCTTTAGCGGAACCAGAAGAACTGAGGAGAACTAAGAGAGAACATTACAGTATGGGCTTCAACATTACTTAATTGTTTCATGTCAGTTTCTTGTGCCACCTGCATCATGTTAGCAACACAGTTACACAGCCTACCCAATGGAACGTATTACCTATGTGCTGTAATTGTTCCTCTATTTACCACATTATGTGATTTATGAATGGACACTGTTGCCAGAAAATGGGATGGTTGATGAGTAGGAAGTTTAGGTATCAATGGAGGAGTATAATTATATTAACAATATTAAAGATAGCTTTACACT